GGGGGGGGGGGGGGGGTGGATCCGCGCCACGCGGATCGCCACGGGGATGAATTTGAATCGATCCGCCGCGCGCGGCATTGTGCGAGGCTGCAATCGGCTTCGCTGAGCCCTCCGAACGCAACGGGAAAGAGACGAATTGGGGCGTGTACGCATCGTTCGGGAGATAAAAACGGCACGGTCGCGCGCGGGGGCTGTTGCGCTCGTTATGTCAGTTAAACGTCGATGCAACGCGTTGTTCGTTCGCCGCACGTTATCGTGTAAACGCCCGATAAATGTCATTTAACTTTTCGTTCCCCCATTAATTATTACCGATGGCCGATTAATTATTATGCGCCGCCACGAGGCTTCATTAAACGTTAAATTAATTTCTATCGCGATCAGCTATTATATCTAGTATTCTCCACGTTTCACGGCCCGTTACGAATGCATTATTCACAGACAGGTATCTACAAATTAATAGTCGTTGGGAAAGGTCGAGTGATTCTCATCGCGAATTAATTCAGCCGTAAATGCGTTGTATTTACTAAGAAATGACATTGCGCGAACGCGTTTATCAAGGCTGAAAGTGTTAGCTTCGAAGCCACGAATTCCCGAACCCTCGACGCGTTACGCGCGAATAATGAAATTTTGACGTTTCGAGAATTCGAACATTTGAATGTCCGATACTTCGAGGAACTGGAAAGTACGCGCGTTCGTTTTGCGGGCATACGCAGAAGAGAATTTGTTGCTGTTACAACAAATTACTAGTTTGTTACTATAATGACAGCGAAATGATTTGTGGTACGGGAAAAATAATGTTACCGTTGTGGTGAAACGTCGTTGCGACAGCAATAAAATTCAGTTGGCATTTAATTAGCTTCGAATAATACCACATCTAGAATGTATACTTAATTGATCGACACGGGCGTCATTCGTCGCACGTTCGATAAATAAGGGAAATAGAACAAAGCCGAATAACCATGCGCTTGTGTCGACTTATGCGTCACCGAAGTGGGAAGTACTCGATATCGCTCAATACGGCTAAACTCGCGTCATGCTCGAACGTATCAAGCGTACGCTTCCGTTGTTTGATAACAGAAAGGACGGTCGGGCTGATTTCGTTGTTCCCCGCCAAATCTAATCCATCGGGTTCCCTTTGCCGCGGAGACGAGTAATTTCGTCTCTTCGATTGAACGACAGAAAACTTAATTACTATGGTGCGCGTCGGCGTAAAGCCCGCGGGCAAAGCAAGAGTTCTGTCTCGACTCTCAGCCACCCTTGATGGGATTCCCAAAGCGAGTTACGCTCCCATTGAACCGCATCATTCTCTTCTTCCGCTTCGCCGGTCGCCGATGGTACGTCGCGCGGCGCCGTTTATGGTGTTTCCGCGCGCGTTCCAGCCTCCGGCGATGCGTCTTGCTGACCGACAACTTCTGCGGGCAAAATGTCACGCTTCAGTTGTAACCTCACGTGTATCGTTCTCTCTCTCTCTCTCTCTCTCTCTCTCTCTCTTTTGGGTGTGTACACATACATTCGTGGTAAGCGTTTAATTTCACTTTCACTCTGACCGCACTTCGGATCTCCGCCGATTCTGTTGGGGCGACGCAATGTGTGTATGTGTATATGTGTATAGAGACGCATCTGATGCGTTACATTGCATACGGGCGGATACGCTTAATCGAGTGAAAACATTAAGAGACGTGTATTAATCCCTCATATGAGAAGGAGGAAAAACGGCGTTCGTTGTCCTAACGGTTTCTCGCTCGATGATACTTTATCTGGTGCAGGGTAAGTTTATTACTCGTATAGTCCGCGGATTTGATTCAAATTCGTTTTGTTCTTCGACGCGTGCGAGAAGCATTGATGTTTGCCGGAAGTTATACCTAAACGCGCGGACAATAGTAGGACGATCGATGCTGTGTGACATTTCGCTTTGACAAACGATTTTTCGAGTCGAAATTTTAGCCTTTTGTTAAATATTTAATTCTATAATGCGGTAGAAGCTAAAATTGCAAAATAGATTTAATTTTAATTCAAATAACACACACACACATATATATATATATATATATATAAAAGTTCAGTTAATTGAAAATTCAGTTAATTGAAATAAATAAATCGAAATTTTAGTTTCAGCGTTTAATTTGCTATTTTTGATTAAAGTGCTAAACTTAGAATTCAGAATATATTTTGAGTAAATTTGATGAACTTATGACGAATTTATGAAATATTTGAAGATACGTAAGCTGATGAAATATTTGAAACAAGTAATATTTACTTGGATGTATTTCTCCGTTCATAGGCGTAGACTTAAAAGCGACGAAGTATAGTATTAAAATTTCGACTCCGGTTCATTGCAAATCCAAGTATATAATTTTACATATAGTCACTTTGTACACATTTGTACGCGTGTTAATATTATGATTTTACGTACATAAGTGCGTAAAAATTACACACTTACATGTGCAAAATTACATTAGCAACAAATTACAAATCTGTAAATTACAAATGCGTAAAAAGTGGCTACACAAAGCGTGGCTACACAAATTACACTTCCACAAATCCGCACTTGAATTTGCAGTGTTCTCTTTTCGCAATGGATTTTTCCCACAAATTCGAAATCTCGCGGAGATCGCCGCGTGTCACTAGGTCACATTGCGCAAAAAACGTTATTTCATGCGGGGTCGTTTGAAACGCGTCTCGTGGCATCACCTGGCTAATCATTGTCGTCAGTTCGTGTTTTCGCGCTCCTCGAGGCAATTTCAATATTACATTCGCCACGCTCTCTCGGCACGTTGCGAGAACGGTCACACTCCTCATTCAAATTCTAATTAAGAGCTACGTCAATACGTTAATAATAAGCGGCGAGCGACAGCAGCCGCGTGGTCGTCGCGCAGCTGTCCGCTTCCTCTTCTCGTATCTTCCGCTCGGGAGAGCAAATCGAATGAGAGATCGCCGGAGGGCCAAGGTGGCGCGGATATTCATGACAATCGTCCGCGTCATTGCGCCGCGCGTTCGTACAAGGTGTCCGCCTTCGTACCGAGACGCGACGGAGCGAAACGGACGACCGGTCGCCCACTCGTCGCCGGCCTGGAAGAAGTCCGTCGCGCCGTCCTTCCTGATCGCGCTGATACGGGAAGAAGCGAATTAACGAATCCAGCTGCGCGCGGCAGGAGGGAAGCTAAAGGGGCAGGAGAGGGTTCCGAGTAGCACCGGTGAGACCAAGGTGCTCGTCCGGCACGCAGGTGGGGATGAAGGCCGCGGGCTTCGCTCGTGCAAACACCTCGGCTCTGCGCACCTAGACCTACATAACGAGATAGCACGGCCGCCAAGCCGCGACGACGACGACGACCACGACGACAACTTGATGCACACCGCGCGAGACGCACGTGTGCGCTCGGGGACCGGTAGCCGCGGCTACCCGCAGCTTCCTCGCGACCGAGGTGCGCGCCTCAGTGTACCTCGGGGGCTCACTGAACGCGAGCGTTGTTTCTCGAGTGGCGCGAAATTAAGCGGCGGTGAACTGTAGTATATTCGATTCGTTTCTGGTGGATCGATGGTGAACGTCGCTCGTCGTCATCGAAGAGCGGCTTGATTCACGGAGATAGCCGCGCTGTCGTTCATCGACAGATCGGTCGGGACGTCGTGTTCAGCATCAGGTGTCTCATTAACGATTCATCGGGATTCCTCGGGAGGGGAGAACACAAGTGTCGCTCGACATGATCAGCCTCGCTACGATAACGACGTTCTCATACGCTAATTATTTACGTTCTGTTTCAGAAATCACTGACCCAGGCAGCCGGAGCCAGAGATGTGGTCACGCACTCGACTCTTCCTGCTGACGTTGACGCTCGTTCTGCTGGTCGGCTCTCAGATCGGCATCAGCAGATCGCAGCGACCGCGGCTCGGGGGTGCCGTGAACGTGTTCAGCCGGTACGGCTACCTGAGCATCAGCATGCGAGTGGTGCCGCGCAACGACACGGAGACATGGGTGTTCCGCGAACCCACGCTCGACGTCTTCAAGAATCCCACGCCGATGCCGTCGAAACAGAGGCAGCAGGGCAAGGCCGGCGCCGCCGTCTTCGACGGCGACTTCCACATGGAGTTTTGCGACAATATCAGGCACGTGGCTGACGCGTGACCAAGATAATCTTTCGGTGATCTCCTCGATTCTCGAGACCGAGGCAAACTCGTTCCGAAAAGTTCCCGGGAGTGGAGCCGTTCTACGTTTTCAATTCAAGCGACGCTTTTGAGAGACCGTAGAGGAGATGGAGTGATATTATAGTCCTTATTTAAAGTTTTCTTTCATAATTCGGTTTTAGATTGAAACTTAACGATCGCACTCGTCAAAATTCTACGTTCTTGTGAAATACTTGTTATGCAGGACGTTATTTAAAATGCAGCGACACTGCATGGGTCGAGGAGGAATAGAAGTGTTAATGTGGCTCCTCACTAAAATAGGTTTAAAAAATTGGTTTAAAAAATTTCGTTTAAAAAAACATAGCGTTCTGTTACGTTGCATATTTATATATTTAATGAAGATAAACTCTTTTAGAAAGGGAATAACAATGAGTACAATCGTGAATTTTTAATATAGTGTATCTTATATGTTAGAAGATACATTGAGAAAAATGTCCGACCGAATAATTCAATTAAAAAATAACAAACAGATATATCCGATCAAATGCGATGTCCGATCAAATCGTGTCGGATAATAAAAATCGGGTAATAAAAATAACACTCGAATACATCATTTAATAGATTTATCCGATAATATTAATATAATATTCTAAGAATATTACGTGCTTATAGAGTTGTAACATCTGAAGTTAACCGTACATTTAATTAAGAAAGACTTGGATACTGGGGTAGTTGAAATTGACAGCATTACTACTTAACAAATAATTCCATAAGTGATCGTTAGAATTCACTTACCGAAGATATTAAGAAGGGTCAGTACACACACACACACACACACACACACACACACAAAGTCCATAATATCACCTTCTCCTCTACACCGCGTAGAAATCGTGGACTCGAGATCGGGAGAAGGGCGTCGTGAGTGAACTTGACGATTAATGGCGGGACGTAACATGATGTATTTGTATTCAGGCAATTGCTACAGGCGTACTTCCGCGACTTTACTTTCGAGAAGCTCGAGAGACCGTGGCACGCCTTCACAGCGAGCTGGTCGAAGGCTGCGATAGCCAAACACCTCGGCATAAATTCGTCCTTCATCACGGGCGATCACTGTTACGTCTTGGTGCGCGTCGCGAGATTCCGCGACAATCAACGGCTCGCCGGTACCGCCGAGACTCTGGCCCTTGACGACTCCGTGTTGCAGCAAACAGAGAACATCACGGTCGGCGATACTGCGAGCGTTGTGCGATTCATCAGGAACTTCGGGTCGCACTACATTGCCTCGTACATCACCGGAAACTCACTCTATCAAGTAAGTCATCGGGACGTTCGGGATCAAGACGCAACGATTGAATCGTAAGAGCAGCCGATCGGTGTTTCTACACCGAGAAATGTATTTAATTGACTCGAACCCAAATCTTGTTTGGATATGGGCGAAAAAATGTTTTGGTCAATGAAAACCAAAGTTCGGTTCTCTGAATCAAAAGTTTGGTTCTCTGATGAGAAAATTGTAAAAGTTTGGTTCAAAGAACAAAATTTTGCTTCCCACAACCAAAACATTTGTTTGATCATGTCCAAACAAGAATTTTATTTGAGTCAACTAAATGAGTTTCTCAGTGTAAACTCTTACTATGGGAGGTGTGAACAGAAACTCAGAACAATTCTATGATAATTGTTTCAAAATCGTGGAGCTTCAGTTTTGCAATTGTGATTTATTATGTAACTTATTCGAAATCGGCATCAGAAAACCCACGCAAATACATAAATTATTTCGTAAATAGAAAGTCATTGCCTCTTCTGAAATCATTTGCGTCGCATTTCGCGTTCGCTTATTGCTCTATCTAGGCCAGATGTATATGTATTGAGATTATTTTGACGATTTCGAATGTGTACTAGTTACTTAGTGCTATAATTGACTTGCATATGCCCGCATGATCCGTTTTCTTTCCTGAGCGATCCGAAAGCCACCTGTCTAGAAATCCCACTCCGCGGCATCCTACTTAACTTTGACTGTTATTCCTTTGATATTTGCTTTTTAATACTTGATAGTCCATTATGGACGTCTGATAATCAAAATTGTAGCTGTTATTAAGAAAAACAGGTCACTAGACAGAAAGTGAACAGTTTTTACTAGCTTGAATTAATTAGACAATAATTGTTCAGAAACTGTTCAAAAAATACTGACTATTATTTCTTGGTCAGTTGCTTGCCATAAACTATTTAAAAGAAAAGTAGTAGGTTAATACTGGACAATTTCTATCCAGCAAAAACTCTTAAAATTCTGGCTAATGTTTCTTGGCCGTTTCCTGGCCAGAAACTGGGCAAAATAATAAACAAATGAAATAGTAAACGAATGAAATGCTTAAAATCTTATTAGGAACTGGTCAGAAACTGGTTAGTTTTACTATCCAGTTTTTGTCGGCAAGTCTCCCAAATTTATAAGGACATTTTATAGTCGAAATTGTTGCAACTGTTATTAAGGAAAATGAGATATGGGAGTGCGAAGTTGCTCCATCCTGTCAGGAAATCCTGTTCTGCGGTATCCTAGTTATCTTTGACTGTTATCATTCATTTGTTAATCTCTTTATAACGTTTAATAGTTCATCATGGGCGTTTCCTAGACGAAATTATAGCTGTTATTAAGGAAACTAAGATACGCGAGTGTGAAGTTGCTCTGTTCCCCGTCAGAAAATCCTACGGCAACCTACTTGACTTTGACCATTATATTCAATTGACGATCCCGTTCGGTAACCCATCGTGGACGTCGTGAACGTAACTCGTTTACTCTAATGAGGGCAGAGAGTGTGGCTAATAAGTATTTCTACGACTGAAAATGTCAGTTCGAAGAGAGAAATTGCCCAACCCACATTGTACATGTGCATTTTTGTAAAACTGCAACTTCAATCAACCGCTTCGATACCGCAATGAGCGGCAAAAACGAGCGTGATATTCGCTTCTTTGCACCAGTGCATCCTCCTTAATTATGCGCTGATCGCTGTCGCAATCGGCTCACCATAAGAAGAATGCAGCCAGAAGAAAGAAGCCGAAACGAGTCTCGTTCATCACACGTTTGTTCGCGCAACCAAGAAACTCGCGGCATCCTTATTTCCATTCACGCGTAAACGTTGCACAGGAACACCTGGTTATACACCGCGTGAGCCTGCTTTTCGCCAATAGTTTACGTCATCACTTCAATGTCGGTAAAAGTGAAGTGTTACGTAACCGCGTCTGCTTGAAATTCGCGATGCCGTAATTCGCAGGTCTATTCGTTGATCTTCGCTAATTGTGCGGATCGCCGCGTTATTTTCACGCTACTTTGACGTTTTCGCGGATAGTTCGCGCCTATTTAGCTTGTATATATTAATAAAAACTGTTATACTTGGACGAGATATTATATTCCGGGAAAAAATGATTATGTATTGGGTGAGTGCAAAAGTGCATGCGGAGTTTGTGAGTAAAAGTTAGACAGTGATTAGGCAAACAAAGTTCTTTATTCAATCAATGATATATTCTCCATCGTTGTCTATAATCTTTTTCCAACGTTCTGGCAGCATACGGATGCCCCGATCATAAAAACTGCGCGGTTTAGATTCGAAGAACGAAGACACGACGTTTTTTAAGGCATCCAAAGAGTCAATTTTTTTTCCATTTAAATGATTTTGCAATGACCGGAACAAGTG